AATCCTGGCAAACCAGGGTCACCACCTGCCCCTAGGTGACCCTGAGCAACATTGTTGAGTTATGGTAGTGAATCACCAAAAGTATACCACAAAGTAACTGATAACTGACAAAGGACATATTTCACTTCTTAAAGAAGGGCCTTGTAATAATATTTAACAGTGAGAAAGAAGTAAAAGCTAGTTCCAGTCTACTTCTTGTTTAAAAAAATCCTTACATCTGACTGACATCAGGCATTTCTAGTGGAAACACATTTACTGCATTCAAATATAACCATTAAAAACGTCAATACTTTATACTGTACCTTTACCTCCATGCCTCTACCCTTTATGTCCACTAGAGAGCATTTTAGACACAGTCATAATCCACCGTGGATTATATAACATTTTTCTAGTGGTGCCCAATGAGTAGCTCAGGATCTACCGGTACATTGCAGGGAGTGCTGGTAGATCATGAGCAATTAAATGACAAATAAATAAGTATAAACATAATTCTGTAGAGTGTAGAGTGTAGTAGTCACCACATACTACTGTAAAAATCTGAATCATACCATGCCATAGCTACATGCATTTATGCATCATAATCCAACACATAATCTACATATGATGTATGTTCAGTGAGTATATATGTAACGTCTTCATTAGAGGTGGCTCACTCTCCCCTAGAGCCTGGTCATTTGAACAGTAGCTCCAACGTTAGAAAAGTGTGGACACCCTGTGGTTTAGTTGTAAAATCTTGTCCCCTGAATTAAATAAGAACAAAGATATTTTTGTAAATATACAGCGTTCCACTTACTAATAAGCCGTCATGTCCAGGAAAACCAGGAGGACCGATTCTGCCCTAGAATAAATAATTCAGTACATTTTGAACAGTTGTTGACTAAGTTAGACCAACATGGCAACATTTACGGGAAGATTTACACTAACCCGATCTCCTTCAGGTCCCCTTGGGCCTTGTGTCCCTTCTGCTCCTCTGCTGCCTTTGTCTCCAGGTGGCCCCTCACGTCCCACTGGTCCCATTGGTCCCCGGGGGCCCTGTGTACCTGGCTTACCTGGAGCTCCCTATTAAACAGGAATGTGGCCATTTAAATGAATGGCCTAAATGTTAGATTTGTGTAATTGTAAGTTGTTGATCGAGCATTAATCTTATTAATGGCATTCATCATTTTCTAATTCAATAATGTTGATAACGACTAATCGTCAAAAGAAATAAAATAGAAAATACAAGTAAGCATTCGTACCCGTGCACCTTTGACAGAAAGACACTGACATACGGAGCAGTTTCTCCCCAGACACTGGCCATCAATCTGCCCCTGGGAAGACACATCAACAAAAGTTAAAAAAAAAACACTGTTTTTGAATAAAGTGAGAATTCATTTCACCAAGTTAAGAAAGTATCTATAAAACACTTGCTCAAGAAGAATTGGTATACTCAGTAAAAATCCAATTAAAAAAAATGTAATTCAACCATTCACTTTAATGAATGAACTAAAACATTAAGACCAGCAAACTCTGATTTTATATTTTTAATATAAAAAAAATTCAGTCATTCAGTCATATAAAAAATTGGGACAAGAAACTGATCAGAATCTGCTTTTCAATTCTATGATATTCCAAAGAATCCCTGGGTCTGAGTTTGTTTTGTCAGGCCTCATGGGAACAGAGACAGGTCACTGCAGCACAAACCCTGTTTGCACGGCTACAAAATAAACTTTGATACAGACTTAACAGCCATGATGACATTAGATACTGGATTTATGATTAACCTTAGCATAGCTACTTGAACTTAAGCAGCCAATGCGATGGCTTAATGTTTATGTGGGTGTTGGTGCGGCTGTATGCAAACAGATATTTATAAATATTTACTCCACACGGTTTCCTTGTGGCGATGCACACCTGCAGAAAAGTCTTTAAACGTCTTTAAACGTTTGCTGCTTGAAACTCTAGTGGTCAGAAGGCAACTGTCCCATGATGACGTGTCAAAATGTTCAAACTTCTGATGATATGATATCAATATTTAGAATTTAGTGACTTAAAGTGAAAAGCAACATAGTGAAACTATAAAAAATCCTTAACATTATTTAGCTGATGCCAACATACTGTGGATGTCATGGATTTCAGTCAGAAGCCATTCTGGTGTTTTGTCCGCCCCATATGTAAAAAAAAAAAAAAAAAAAGTTGACACAGTAGTTTGAACAAATTGAACGTGACAAGCTTCACAGTGTCCTGATGTGTTTCATTCATTTTTGCGGGAGCTCAGGCTGTGCTGACTCTGAACATTATCTTCTTTACTATAGAACATATTGATGTCAACTGATTCAAAATTAGTAAGTTTTAATCTGATTAATCATGGGTGGCTGATGATTGATCACAATTATTCATAATTAAAACGTAATTATGTTAAATCATTAATTCAGATAAATGGGCATCGATCATCATAAATGTACGAAGGAAGGAAACAGACTCACTGCACCGAGCTGCTGCACAAAGACGGTCAGTACGAGGATCCACCTGTGAATGTCCAAATATGAAAATGATTCACCAGCAGGTTTTAAAGACAGAATTGACAGTATAATCACATCAGGTATTATTTGGTTCATAGCCTCTGGTCTTTGACTTTTGGGTAATTAGTTACCCTTTGCAATTTTTTTTTTTTTAAGAAATTGCATTTTTATTTTAATGGGTTTTTTTTTCTTACCTAGTTGTGCTGCATTTTGGGTATTTTCTAAGTGTCTCCCCATACCTTGTTATGCTGTGACCACAGTACTTGACCTTTGGCTAAGTTACATCAAGTTCCAGATAATTCCAATGAATATTTATACTAAGGTTGTGCAAAATAAAATTCTAACTCTGTTTCCATCTGTCAATATTATACAGAAACCAACAGAATGAGTGGCAATAAAATAAATACCTAAGGGAGATTTCAGTTAATCTGTTTGTGTGTGTTGTTGCACCATGTCTGCTTGGAGCAGCTCCACATCAATAACACGGTCAGCCCAAGCTATCATCGCACTGCAGGTGGAGCTCTTATGCGTTATTGGAAGGAGTGCAATTAAAGGCTAAATTTACACAAAGCACCAGGGTGGAATTGAAAATGTGCTGAATAAACAGACATCAGATTTGTCTGTGTACAGAAATGTCTACAATATTTATGGCTAAATTAAATATTGAAGAGTAAATATTATAAAATATATTGCAGTGAGACTCACCCCAGGGAACAAAAACCAAAAATACCAAAAAAGGAGCTCATCTTAATTATGTTTGCTTCACAGGTGAAATGCCCCCTATAGTGGACATGGAAGAAGACTTAATCTGTTGGTAGAGAGATATTTAGCATTTCTATATATATATACACTATATATATAT